TGTGCTGCAATAAACATTGATGTGGCTGTGTCCCTGTAGTATGCTTTTTTTTTAAAGTCCTTTGTGTATACACCAAGGAGAGGGATAGCTGGGTCAAATAGTGGTTCCATTCCCAATTTTCTAAGAAATCTCCATACTGCTTTCCATATTGGTTGCACCAATTTGAAGTCCTACCAGCAATATATGAGTGTACCTTTTCCCCCACATCCTCACCAACATTTATTGTTGTTTGTATTCTTAATAGCTGCCATTCTGACTGGAGTGAGATGAAATCTTGGAGTAGTTTTGTTTTGTGTTTCTCTAATTCCTAGCGATGATGAAGCAATCCTTAGCAGGAAGAGTGAAGCAGGTGGCATCACTATACCAGAGGTTGAACAATACTACAGAGCAATAGTAACAAAAACAGAATGATACTGGCACCAAAAAAGACTGGTAGACTAATGGTACAGATTAGAGGAAACAGAGACTAACCCACAAAATTACAATTATCTTATATTAGACAAAGTTGCCAAAAACATGCATTGGAGAAAAGATGGCCTCTTCAACAAATGGTGCTAGGAAAACTGGAAATCCATATGCAACAAAATGAAATTAAACCCCTATCTCTCACCATGCACAAAACCCAACTCAAAATGGATCAAGACCTAGGAATAAAACCAGAGACCCTGTGTCTAATAGAAGAAAAAGTAGGCTCTAATCTCCATCACATGGGATTAGGCTCCAACTTCCTTAATACGACTCCTTTGGTGCAAGAATTAAAATCAAGAGTCAATAAATGGGATGGACTCAAACTAAAAAGTTTCTTCTCAGAAAAAGAAACAATCTGTGAGGTGAATATAGAGTCTACATCTTGGGAGCAAATCTTTACCCCTCACACATCAGATAGAGCACTAATCTCTAGGATATATAAAGAACTCAAAAAGCTAAGCTCCAAAAAATCAAATAACCCAATCAAAAAATGGGCCAATGACCTGAAAAGACACTTCTCAGATGATATACAATCAATCAATAAATACATGAAAAAATGTTAAGCATTTGGTTTTTCACAGGAAAAATCTATTTTAAAATAGTACCTGTTTACATCTACCCACTGCCAATCCCCCCACACACACCACCTCCCCTTTCCACCATCATTGGGGCCACTAATGTCATTACCACAGTAGGAATTCCATAAAGAAATAAAACCAATGGATTTATGAATAAAACCAGCAAAAACAGGAAAAACAAAAAAACAGCAGAAATGCCTTACAACAGCTTGTATTGGTAACTAACACAAGAAGCTGGCCCTTAATTAAAAAATACATTGCCCCTGTGCAGACTAAAATATTCTGTAGAAGTCCAATGTGCCTTAAAACATAAGTAATGAAATTCACTTTTACCTTACTATTCATTAAAATACATCATTTAAAAAAAATTTAACAATTAAAATAGTGACATACTGACATAGTATAGAGGTATTAACAAAAAAATGGAATCCAGTAAAAAGTCTATAAATAGACCAAATTATGCTAGTAAATTTGGTATGTAATGAAGTAGGCATGGAAGTTAGTGAAAAAGTAATTGCTATTCATCAACAGTTTCTTCTGAGACCACTTAATGAAACCTGTGAAGGAGCAGCAGCTTCCTGAGGACGGGAATTCTCTACGAAAAAGCATGCTACCTAGTACATTGTAGGCATCTATTTAATGTTTTGTTAAATAAATATACTAAAATTTACTCCTACACACAAAATAGACCAAAAAATTCTAGATAAAGTTTTTTAAATGGAAAAAAATTAAAAACTGACGAAGAAAAATATTGCATATGCACATCAAAAAGTACATACATAAGATTTAAAAGAAAATGGCCAAATAAAACAAATATTTGCATATATTTGTAATATAACACAAACATTAAATGCTTTGATTTAAAATAAGCACTTTTAATTCAATAATAAAAATACAACTACTTCAAGGGAAAATTAAATATTTCAGTAGTGCAAAAACTACAAATAACCAGTAAGACTAATTTTTTTCTCTAATAATGCAAGTAATAAAAATTAAAATTAAAATAATGGATGCTGTTTCATTTATAAAGTTGGCAATTATCATACTGTCTACCATTCATGATGATTCAGAAGAATATTATCATGCATTGCTGGAAGGGATATAAATTGATCTATTGAAGGTAATTTGACAGGAAATATCAAAAGTTTTTAAACTGTGTAAATCATCTGGTCACCAAATTCCACTTCTAAACATTTAGACTAAAAATTATTTAAAGCATGCACTTTTTTAATCTACAAGATTATTTCAGCATAAAAAATCAAATAAACATTTAAATGCCCAGTAATAAGAAACAGTTAAGGAAATTTATAGTACAGTCATATCAAGAATTACCACTTCATCAGAAAAAAAAAAAATGATGTTACAGGAGAACATACAATAAAATGGAGGGATATCCAGGTTGTATATTTAGGCTTAAAAATCAAGTTAAAAAGAGTATTTGGCAAAATGATTTCATGGCTTATAAAATGGGGGGAAAAAAAAAAACTAAACTAAAAGCCAGAAGGAAAATTGTCAAGGTATTAAAGGTGACTGTCTTTGTCAGGTTTAAATAAAAAGATAGGTGCTCTTATTATTGCTAATGGAATTTACTTTTATTTTGCAATGAACGGGTATTGTTATAGTAAAATAAAAGTAATTTTAAAAGCATTTAAATTTGGGTTGGAGTTATGGCTCAGTGGTAGAGCACTTGCCTAGCATGTGTGAGGCACTTGGTTCAAACCTCAGCACCACATAAAAATAAATAAACAAAATGAAGGTATTCTGTCCATGTGCAACCAAAAAAAATTTTTAAAAAAACTTTTAATTTTAATTTAAAAAAATTAAGGAACTTGGTTACCTGCTTTCAGGAGCCAGGTTTGGTTAATCAGCTATCTCTGTGACTTTCCATGTTTCAAAAGTTACTAAGCACTTGACATACATTATTTGATCCGTTCTCTTACCTATTGTTAGCTATCAATAACTCCGTTGGATGAGGTCCCACTTCAGAAAAAGTGGCATGCTCAAGGTCATGCAGCTAGTGGCAGAACTGGGTATGACTGACCCTTTTGCTATTTATTCCAAAGTTTATGTTCACAATCATAAATTGGAGCCTGTTGTGAGAAGAAGGGCTTTTTGAGAATAAATCCAAAAAACAAATTTCCAGATAACACATACTTTTTAAGAATATGTTTTGATTTTCCAAACAGCACACTTATAAATAGCCTTTGTGTATCACTTCTACCTGTTTGCCCTGTTTTTTTCTGTGCCACATGTATTATTCCTAAAAGCCATGTCCAGTCTGGTAGAAGCAATGGCTCAGAACTAGATTCCTTGGATAGAATCTGACTTTGCTTCTTAAGATCCATAGAACTTTGGACCCTTAAATTTCACTGGGTCATATTCCCTACCAGTAAAATAAAGCTATGATTATACCTACCTCAAGGAGTTCCGGGGAGGATTAAATAAACTAATCCACATAGTGTTTTTTGGATTAAACAAATGCTAAACACATAACAACCATGGGTTTAATAGTATCTACTATTATCATTATTAACATATTCTCTGAATAGTAAATTCCCCAAGGGCAAGAATCACAGATTCCATTGCTTTTGAGTTTTCCAAAGAGCTCACTAAATGATTGATCAGTAGATTAGAGTCGGAAATATAGTAATTTCTAAGGAAAGATTTCAGTGCTGCAAATTAATCTCTCTGATTTGACAAGAATCCTACCTTGTTAACCTTTACTGACTAATAGGAGTTTTGTCTTTATCTATCTGCTCTGCAATGGACTACTGGAACAAGTCACACCTTCAAGTCTGTCTTGCACTTCTCTAGTAAGCATTAATGCTGCTTATTTATTGAATATTCAATATTTAAATGCAAGTAACTTTCATTTCAACAAAGCCTTGGGGGAGGGATGTGACCTTCTTTTTTTATCTAAAAAAAGTTAAATGACACAGGAGTGCTAAAATCCTTGAATGTTTATTTATGACCTTTCAAAGAAAGGTAATTGTAACCTCTTTTGTCTATTTCAGCAAGAGAGTAGCAGGACAACATCATGGCTCAATATTTCACTGAAGGTATTTACTCTGGATAAATCCAGACATAGCTCCCAGAGTTCCTGTACTATATGTTACTTTGAAGTCAATGAGCTGAAAATATCACTTTAGAAAGCTCTATTAATCATTGAGAGTATAAGTGTATTCTGATTTTAAAAACAACTTGACAATCTCACAAAAAGAATCCATAAATACTGATATGCAAGTCGTGGCATAATTACGTGAGTACTCCATAGAGCAGGAAGTGAACTTTTTTTTCATACAAATTGGGTCATATTAGACAAACCCAAAGAATCTAATTAAAAGCAATGAGCTTCCCAAGGGCTCAGTCCACAGTCCCACCTGACAGTATTTCTGTATTAGTCCACTTTCCATCGCTATAAAAAATACCTGACATAACTTACAACAGGAAAAGGTTTATTTGGCTCATAATTTTAAAGGTTTTATTCCGTGGTCTCTGTTGTTTTGGGTCTGAGGCTACGGAGTATTATCATGGCAGAACCACATGGTGGAGTTTGTGTCATAGTAACCAGTAAGCAAAAGATAGCAAAGGGTTTGGCTTCCAATATCCCCTTCAAGAGCATGATCCCAATGATCTAATTTTTTCCCCTAGGCCACACCTCTTATGGGTACCTCTACCTTCCAGTACACCAAAGGCTAGGGACCAACCAATCCTTTAACACCAGATCCTTAGGGGACATACAATACCCAAAGTATAGCATCTTCTAATGACGAAATATCTTGCATTGAGAAACAAAGAATATAAAAATCTCATTTCTCAAGACAATTATCCTGAAATTTTTCTTCTACTATAATGTTTTGATTTGAGTTATTGACATCCAGAACAAGAAAGAAACTTGACTAAAATAAATGAATGCATCTAATGAATTATGTTCTAAAGCCTCCTGTGAATCCCTTTTCTTTTTAATTTTTTTTTTTTTAGTTGTAGATGGACACAATACCCCTATCTATTTTATTCATTTTTATGTGGTGCTGAGGATGGAAACCACTGCCCCACACACATGAGGCAAGTGCTCTACCAATGAGCCACAACCCCAGGTCTTCCAGTGAATCTTAATTTTTCTTTAGGTGATTACCCAGATCCTCCACAATTTGCCTGCAGCCTGACTCATTTCCCAAGGCAACTCTCTTCCCTCCACTCACTTTCCTTCCATTTCCCTGATTCAAACTAAGCACCACCCATCTTTGCCTAATGATCATTTGCACTCTTCAGTCTGTGAGTGCAAATGATGATCCCTATGTCTTTGCAAATGCTGATCCTGCTCTAAAAAGGTCTATTTAAAGTTGTAGCTATTTTGTGCATCTTTCAAGGACCTGCTCAAATGCCACATTTCCTCTTTACCCCATGATAGCACTAAAGGATAAATAGGTATAGATGCTCACCTCCCATAGTGTTTAAGAGCACAATAGATATAATATCTAAGTAAAAATAGTGTGCTTGTTACATAAATGGAGCTTGAAAATACAAATCCATGGGCCACCCTCCTCCTTCCCACAAGATTACTGTCTCTAACCCTACACAAACATTTTAGAGCTGCCACTACTGAAATCTCCCTTTAAAAATGAATCTTTTCTTTCTTTGGGTCCATAACATGTACTTTTCTGCTTACTTTGGCCTTCAGTACATCCCATTTTATATACCAGTTGTTTGTTTAGACTCCCGTATTATTTTCCTTGCTATTTCCAGAGAGCAGGAATTGAATCCTGTTCATCATATCTCGCCCACACTACTTAGCAGGAAACATTGCTCAAAGTAGGTGGTCAGTATCTTAATGGCCTGGAAATGAGAATGAAAAAATTATGAGAAAAATCAAGCAATGACTAATGGAAGTTAGTCTTATTACTTTCAAGTATACACACTAACAGTTCTGTCAATGATCTCTGCTTATAACCTCTTTGGTTCATTTTTAGATCATTCCCACCCTGCCACATACTACACAGAGTTATATCTATTTAATCTCCACTATAATGTTCTCAAACTCCATTTTTAAATAAGAACAAAGTGTTTCATTGTTAAAATTAAAGTATGGACATTCTTCTCCAAAGTCACACTCCAAAAAACATGAATATATGGTTAACATCTAAATTTTTTTTCAAATATTTTTATCTCATCTAGAATCTCTACAAACAAGTATATAACTAATTATGCAATATGTCATGGTTTCATGCAAAGAGGACATGATTTTTCAAGTGTTCCATCTGAGCAGGAAGAATTACTCTTCCAACTCTCTGTCATAACAATTTTATTGCCATTATCCTAAGAGGTACAAAATACTAATGTGTGGCTTTAAGGGTATAGTTTTTAAAACTTCATAAAGAAACTTCTCTAAAATGTAGACAATAGAATAGACAAAAGATAAGGTATTATTTTATTTTACAGTTTTTTAAGTAAATTAAACTAAAATATAATGAATACAATTCTCAAAAATTAATACCACCCAAATATATTAAAATCAATAAATGCCATTTGCAAATGGTTTTAACTCCAAAATGCAGCAATTTTCCTGAGTTAAGTTATAGGCCTGGCCTTTTATATACCAAAAACCAAGTCATGTCAATTATAAAACCTTTAATTATTTTGTGCTTTTTAAAAAAAACCTATAGTTACTTCTATTTGTAGACAGAAGTATACATACATGCCTACGTCTGTAATTTCTTTGTACTCTATTTTATAATCACATTTTGTCTTTCAAATTTTCTTTAATGTTCCCATTGAGACTGTTATTCTAGGAAAATCCTGATAGCTAGGCTTAACAACAACAACAAAATCCTCCAGCACTGTGAGTGCTGATTCATAATTCAATAATCAGATTAAAAGTGCTATGGAAACAAATGTCTACTTTTCTTACATATTCAAGGCATATCGCGCTGTCCTTCTTTCTCCATGCTGCAGTTGAGCTTAGTTGCTCTCTGTTAAGGAGCATTACATTCTGTTTTCAAAGAGTGCACTGCAGTAGTGAATATTGAAATCCTTCAATAAACTGCTATTTTCTTTAAAGTATTTATTTCTTAGAAAAGACATGAGCTATGACTTTAGACCCAAATCTACCTCTAAAAAAAAATTTAGTTCAATATTCCCAACATATTATTATATTATTAAATCATTTTGAAAGCTAGCACAACAACAACAACAAAAAAAACAGCTGTGCTTTTAACCTTTTAATCAATATATATTAAGAATTAGTTAAATTCTTACCTGGTAGAATAAATTTAGCCCTGTCAAGTGGGGGAAGGGAGCTTGTTATTTTTCTATGATTCTTGGACAGTATATATTTCAATAAATTGACAAATCACAAAGGTCCAAAAATAGCCTGTATTTTTTTCCACAGTAAATCTAAAATTAGAAAGTTCTTACTTCTAATCTATTCTGGTTTTCTTTTTTTCCAGATAGTTGCCTAACAATTTTAAAATAAGAGGGTATAAAACTGCACATATCTAATAAAAATGTTCCAATAAATGTATTAAGAAAATATAGGGCTGGGATTGTGGCTTAGAGATAGAGCCCTCGCCTAGCACGTATGAGGCACTGGGTTTGATCCTCAGCATCACATAAAAATAAAATAAAGATATTGTGTCCACCTATAACTAAAAAATAAATATTTTTTTAAAAAGAAAATATAGATGTTCATTTGCATTCTATGGGCAAATATGTTTAGTCTTAAAACTTTCCATAGTACTTTATATTTCAAAAATATCAAGAGTCTCTCTGTAATGCCAGATTGAGAAATCTCTCATTGAAATTTCTTTTTCTGTTTGAAACTGAAAGCAGACACTTTCTTACTGAGAATTAACATTTTTTTTGGAACACTGTGAGACACTGGTCCTATTAATGTCGATTAATTAATTTTGACAGTTTAGTGGATGGTTTTTTCCAGCTATTAGGAGAAAAACTATTGTTTTCATTTATGCATCAAGTCAATTTTATTTTTCATGTTGTAATTAATAGAGATATTTTCAAGATAATTTTTGACAAAGAAAATAATTATCTTAAATAATTTTAAAAATCTGTGACCAAGACAATCATGTAGTTCTTTTAGTATTCAGTAACTAGATAAAGTTTTTCTTTTGTGAGAAACTATGTGCTTCTAATTATATGAATATAGAAATTAGAAAATTCACTATTTTTCTTCTGATTTGGCTTTCAGCAAGCTCAGGGCTGAACTAAGGCCCCATTCTCAATATATGCTTTCCTCTTCATATTTAAGTATATTCTCCTCATCTTTTCATGCCCTTTAATTCATGGTTATTTATATTTTATATCAATATATCTAAACTCTATAGTAAAAAGCAGAGGGTTCATTAATTTTAACAAAAATATTATTCCAAACCATTTATTATACCCACTATATGCCACTCATTATTCCAGAGGATGAGGATACCATTAGTTAAAAGATCATTTTCATGATAGAAGAGAATGTGTTTTTCTATATCCTTAAAAGGGGGGAAAATCTGCCAATCAAACAATTTCAAGAATATGGACATTTAAAGCTTTCCTTAAAAGAAAACCCTGCCAACATAAATTTAATCCTCATGAAGAGTTCAGTTAATACAGTGTGTTGATATCTTCTGGCTGCTATTTACTGGAATATGGAAAAATTTACTTGCTACACAACCTCCTTTTCAGGGTCCTACAATAAAACAGTCTTCATCCTTGAACATGTGCTAAGCACTAATAACAGCACTAATAACACCATGAAATAAAAGCTTTTAAATAAATTTTCCCTTAAAGCAGAGATCAATTTAAACATTGTAACTTCCAGGAAAAGAGTATTTGGGATCTTAGACATCCTTTCTCAGAATATTGGATATAACAAATAAATAGCTCCTAATGGGGAAGAAATAATGCAGGAGTGTAGCGACTTAGACATGAATATTGTTAAAACTGGTAAATCAGCTCCTTAGAGATGACCAACCTTGAAAATTTGGTGGGCCAAAATTTATCCTTGGTTTTGAGCTTTGTTTTGCTTTACTGGCTTGCAAATTTGTGTCCCACAGTGACCCTAGACTGGCCTGCCTCCTACCAGCCTGATGTTAGGAAAGGTATTGAAATTCACAAGGATCTTACCCTTGGCTTCCACTTCCCTGGCTCAGCATTCTCACTCATTTTAAGGCGTTGCCAGCTCAGCATAGCCATGTATTCAAGGAAGACCTCCCAGCCAGGCCGCCCACAGATACACTTGTGCTTATCACCTGCCCCAGCAATTGCAAATAGACTAGCACTTACCAGAGGAACCTATTTATCCTCCCTATGTAGGAGAGAGCCCTGTAAATTATTACATTTCAAAAGGTGTAAAATATTGGACTTCTCTGCTTGAACTATGTGCATTTAGGTTATAGAAAGCTCTCTAAATAACAGAATTGCCCTGACTTCACTTCTCTCAAAACTACCTTCAAACATTTTTAAAGTGATATGCCTTTGATGGCTTTCTGAGCCAAATGCTGGGATACATGGCATTTTATAAATAATTTTAAATAGTCTCAAGGATTCAGAAAAGCCTCAAATAACAAAGTGTGAACACGGATCTTAAAAAAATCAGAGGGCTTTAATGAAGAGAAAAGCAGATCAAAAATAATAAAAAGAGAACCCAATTCATTCCCAAAATGCCAGAAGAGAATTTTTAGAATTACAGTAAAGCAATCACTTCCTTAGTTTGTACAACAAAACACAAACTTTGTGGGACAAGATAAGACTTGGTCAAGATTGTCAAATGTATCAATATAGATGCGAAAACTAACTTCATAATAAATGAGTAGGGGGAAAGTCGTCCGAGAGGAATACCCAAACCATTGAATTGGATATCTTCTGATCAAATTTCACTGGACATACCATTCTCAGGCCACTAAGACAGTTGAATCACATAAGCACAAAACACGGGCAAAGGACCAATTTCGCGAAGGCGACAGTCTCCCTTCCTCCATTCCCTTTAGATCTGTCGTCCTGGCCTTTCATTCTCAAGAGCATTTTGTTTCTAGGACAGTCCTCCCCCCATCACTACCACCTTATCCATCAGTCTAATTATCTCGTTATTCAAATCTTTCAAAAAGAAAGAGAGTAACTGCAGGTTACTTTCTCTACTCGCGGGCATCTTTTTTTTTTCTAGTCTTAGTAAGCCTTCAACAAACTTTCCCTGAAAAGGATGTCACCGAAGGGCAATGAAGCTTAAAATCCCGCCATTCTCTCATTTTCTCTCTCTTTTCTTTCTGCCTACCCCACCCAAAACTCCTTACTCCGCCCCCCACCTCCAATCCGCGATTTTTTTTAAGCATGCTGGAGGCTGGGGTCTTTAAGAGAACTTCCTCTGTTTCTCCCTCTAACCCAAGACTAGAGGGACAGGAGAAGGACAAGGCACCTAAGGGGACAGGCAAATGAGTTATTTGAGGGGAATAAAAGATCTAATGGAAAAGTCGCCCTAATTCTGTATTAAGTATTTTAAAAATAAATGAGCGTACCCTTTCCATAGAGTTCAAAATGCTGTCTTTTGCTCTAAGCATTCTTCTTTACCAGATACAACGCCTACTATATACTGTTCTAAACATTTTAAAAATATGATCTTCTTTGCTTTTATTTACACACACACACACACACACACACACACACACACACACACTAAATCCGTGTGTGCTTTCGTCCCTGCTGTGTTTTTCTTTATGACACGGTACAGCGGGTAAGTCTTCAAAGACAAATATGGAAATACTTTAACCAGTTGCTACTTTATTGCAAGCAAACCATTTCCTTCTGCAATTTTTCGCAATCATTATAATTAAATACACTAGTGGGGGGGGGACGTAGGGGTTTTTTTTTTTTCCAATTATGATTTTAGGTTTTCCTTCAGGCGTTTGGAAGCGCCCGCTAATTTGCTCGCGTGGCAAACGTTAATTGAACTTGTAGGCATTCTGAAAAACGTGCAGCCCTCACCCAGAGTTGTGAAGGCTGAGCTCGCGAAGACCAGCAGCCAAGTGTTCACCTGTGGCTGGGGAGCAATAACCACTCGCGCGCTCAGTCTGGAGAGCTGGGGCCGGGATCCTGTGTGCACTGGGCTCACCCTCAAAAGGATTTCGGGGACCTGGAGCGGGGATGGCGTCGGGTTGCTGGCCTACTCTGTTCTGAGCAACCGCTCTCAAGCAGCCTGCGCTACCGCGGACAGAGGCCAGAAGTCCCACGCAGGCAGGGCGCACGCTTGAGGTTGATAGCCGAGATGGAGAGTGACGGCCACCCGGGGACTCGGGGCCAGGCACTGACCCGGGTCTAACCCTACCAGGCCCCACCCGCTCCACGCTGATTGTGTTATTAGCCCGGGGTTACGTTTCAGAAGGCAGAATGGGACGTTTCGGATTTCTGTTCACACGGTTATTGAAGGCACCGCTGTAGGGACCGCACAAAAGAAACCGAGGCAAGTGGGGAAGGAGTTTTATGTTTTAATCAGAGTTTAACACCCACATTGCGGGTCCTCTGCGTTGATCCGGCTCCTTCCCGCACTCCCTGAGAGCAATTCTTGCCCGGGTTTCAGTCTTTTCCTGTCCACATCTTTTCCTCTACTCCTTCCCGACCCTACAGGTCTTGTATTAGGAAAGAATGGACTGTTAAACAGATGCACTAGGCAGAGCCCCAGAAAAATATAAATCCGTAAGTGGCGCAGGCACGTGGTGAGTGCAAAATGACCTTTCTCAAACGCTTTTTTTTTTTTTTTTAACCACCAAGCTCAGAACTGTCCCGACGCTAAGCGTGGAGTCTCGGGCTGGACCCCAAACCACACTCCGCCCTCCATCTGGTACCTAAGCGCCACGGAGGGTGAACGGACCCCGGTGTCCCAGGTTCGGTCCCTCACTTCCTGCCCTCGCGGAGATACTTCGGCATAACCGGTTCAAAAATTCCACTAAACGCAGAAATAGTAGCTTAAAAACATAATTTGAAAGAAGAAGTGGAGTCCTAGACAACCCACGTTGCCCGTGCACTAAGAACTATTGGACATGAACTGGGAATTTAGAAAAGAAATTGAATTTCCAAGCACGAATCTTCACGTCTTGAATCTAATTAATTCGGCGGCTGCGATTGCACACGCCAGGGAGATTGAGGAAGAAATTATGCACTTATTTGGATTACCCAAGCCCAAGAAACTCGAATTGGAAATCCTAAAGTGTGTCCTGAAATCCCCTCTTCATTACTCGAGTCCTTCCTACCATCTGAGTAGACAAAACTCCAGCCCACGGCTGGAGGTCTGCTAAACAGTCCTTGTGGCCAAAGACAACATGGAAATAACAGACGGATAGCAAATCCGACTTCAGTCGGGCCCTCTCAAACCCTCCGACTGCCAGCTGTTAAGTACCTGGTCGGGGAAACTTGCGTCTTTATCTGTCCACAGCTCAGAGGCCGCGGAAGTAGCCTCAGGAGTTGTCAGAGAGAAAAGCAACATTGATTTAAGGTTTTCAAAAACCCCACAGGGCAAATGTGACCGCTGGGGTCAGCCAGTCAGCAGTTTTGGTCCAGACAAGGGACAGCCGAGCGGGGCGGTTCGGTTAAGTCACGGCGCCTCCCGACATCACACACGCTTGTTCACACTCAGCCACGCGCTTGGGGTTATTCTTTAAACACAGAACTAAGACTCCCTGGGCGAGACCGCCGGGAGCTGAGGAGGGCCGAAACCCCAGATCCAGAGCCCGCCCCTCGCCGGCTCGCCTCCGCCTCCGCCGCGCTGGCGTCTGAGACCGCGCGCTCACTAGCTGGAATTAAGCAGCCCGCGCTTACGCTCTCCGCGGCCTCTCCCAGCCCGCGCGCAGCTCAGGGTCCCAGGTGCGCGGCGGCCGCATTCCCACGCCTTTGCCAGAGCATTGAGGCGGGCATTGGCGAACGCAGCCACGCCCTCCTACCCCAGCCAATAGCGGGCCACGCCGGCCCCCGAGGAGGCGGTGCCCGGCAGGCGGAGGGGTGGGCAAGCCGGGGGTGGGAGAGGTGACCCCGCCCGCGCGGGGGGGCGTGGCCGGCGCCGGCTCTTGCTGCGGAGAAGGGTTGCGGCGTGGGAAAGAGCCGCGAGGAGCCGACCGCGCCGCCGCTGAAGCCTCGCCTGCAGAAGTCCCGGGAGGGAGAGAAGGAGGAGGTAGGCGGGGAGGGTGTTGCACCCCGCTCAGCGTCGGTGATTCCGGCAGGGCTGCGCCCGGAACGGTCTTTGCCGAGATGAAGCGCCCTTGCGAGGAGACGACCTCCGAGAGCGACATGGACGAGACCATCGACGTGGGGAGCGAGAACAATTACTCCGGGTGAGCGCGCGCTGGGCGCGAGCTGCCAGGGCCAAAGGGTGTCAGGGAGCTTTGGGCACGAGGGTTTCTTGGAAATCCCGAGGCTTCTGTCTGCAGCGTCCTGCTAGAGAGAATAAAGTTTTGCCGGAGAAACTTCAAGTGGTGGGCGCTCATTTAGCGTAAGTTGGGGTGGGGCGAGAGTTGTGGGTTTTCTCTCCAGGGGTGGGGCAGAAGACTGAGGACTCGACTGAACCGGAGAGTGCAGGCGTTGGCGAGGGAGGGTCCCAGGCTGTCAGCTTTGGGCGCGCGGATAGGCACGTCCGGGCAACTGGAGATGCCCCCGCCGCTGAAGCTGTATTTGGAGGCAGTTCCAAAATAGCTCAGGAGAAGAGAAGTAATTTAACTTTTTATTTTTAGAGAGGTTTAGGTTTTGGAGCAATTAAAACAATCTAGGATGTCAAGCCTAAGTAGCTTGAATTGTGCAGGTTAACCGTGAGTGATTGGTCTATCAGGCGAGTGAGTGACAGATGTAAGGTTCCAATCTGGCATTTCTTTGACTGATAGTTCTTAAGCCTGGAAAAGATCGGCATTCTGATCACAGAAGCCAGACCTCTACTTTCCTCTGACAGAGGGAGATTACCAAGGCATTTTAGAGCCAAGGCAGGTCAAATGATAATTGCTTCTAATTGCCATCCCCAGAAGCACCTTAATTATTTATCTGCAGCTGTCACTCAAAGAATGAAATTCTTCCTGCCTTTGGAAAACTGTTTTTTTTTTTTTTTCCCCACATTCTTATTCTAAACAAATCAGAGTCAGGAATCAGCAAAAGCAACCATACTTACATGAAACATTTACAAAGTGTCTTCTTATTAAAGTGTTGTGTCATCTTTAAAAATGAGGTCTGAAAAAACGGAAGATGTCACGTGAAAGGTGAAACCAGTAGAGAAGGAGTGAGAATGAAGGGGTTAGTTAATTCAGAAATAAGATCCAGAAGTGAGAAGGTGAGGTAATAGGAACCTGGTGTGTGCAGTATTTCTGAAATGAAAGAGAACAAATAACAGGACCTGGGGAATTTGAGCCATAAGGAAGCATAGTATTCATGAATTATGAAGAGAAAGAGATACAAACTAGAAAGGAGTGTAAAAGTTATGAGACCAAATAATAATTTTAATTTTTAACATAAAAATGGCTTTTCATTAGTAAACTCAAGGTGGATTGCAGCTTCTGGAGATTTAAGCTTAGTTTGAAAGCTGAGTGACACCTATGGTTTCGTTTTCAAAGTAAAACCTTTACCTAGTACTAAGCCTAACTTTAATTTCGCTGTCATTACATGTGTAATTTAGGTTATTCTTTGGGAATGTTAATGTGCAGAACATCAAATTTGTGGGGTTTTTTCCCCCCTGTGTAAGATACTCCTAATTGAAGTTTTGAAATAATAATAACTTCTCTACATTTTAAAGTTTGCATCTAGGGGCAACAGTTTGATGTGTGATAACTATTTGATAGTGCTGTTTCATATGATCCTTATTTTTGAAAGTGATATTACTTTGTTCAGTGTATCTGACAGGAGGGAGGACCAATAGAATTGGCATCTGGATTACCAATTAAATATCTTTCAAAGGCCATAATTCCTGCCTGAAAAGAGACAGAAGGGCCCAAAGCAAGGCTATTAGAAGGGAAGTAAAAACTAAGAATAAAATAACACAGGCATGAATTGTACACTTTGAATATTTAATGGGTGCCACAAGTACCCAGTAGAAACCATTGTTATGTTAATGCAGCACCTGACATACTCTTCCTATTTCATAGGCAAAGTACTAGTTCTGTGATTAGATCGAATTCTCCAACAACAACATCTCAAATTATGGCAAGAAAGAAAAGGAGAGGGGTATGTGATTTTTTTTTTCTTTTTATTTCATGTAATCCAGCCTAATATGTAACAGTTGTGTTTTTTCCATTATGAGTAATTTTATCATTTATGTATTCATAAACTTCTGTTGTTTTGCTTTCTTTGAGATAGATTATAGAGAAAAGGCGCCGGGATCGGATAAATAACAGTTTATCTGAGTTGAGACGACTGGTGCCAACTGCTTTTGAAAAACAAGTAAGCTACCCCCCTCACCCCCAAAGCCCAAAGAATCTGATTCTCTCATCTGGGAATGTGAGTTTCTTGTTAAAGCTCATTAAAATAATGGTGTATGTGCCCTGATCTGGCACAGAGCAGCTATTTCAATAAAATGCTTTGTTGTGGCAAAACTATTAAAAACATAATCCATCATGAAGTTGAAAAACATTTCCATTCTTTAGCTTATTTTCCCCTTTAGGGTAACAGTGTTCATGCTTTCTTCTGTTCTTTCTATGAACACCAGTAGTGGTTTTGTTTAAAACTGTGCTGTATGTAATATTCTTCAAAACATATATGTGAAATATCATTTTTTCTCAAACTACTAAAAAATCTTTTAAATTAAAAAAAAAATAAATAAAGCCCAGGAAGTAACTTTCTAGTTCTACTTCCTAAATAATACTACTAATACAATTTCTTTACCAAGCCTCTTGCTTTCATTTTTAATCGCTGGGTTAATAGAATGATGTTTGATTTGGGGCACATTTTGGAAAGTTGGCAAAAATCAAATTAGTCATAAATGCCTCTTTTCAGGGTTCAAATATTCTTTTACAAAAACCAATTTTACTCAGTTAGAAAAGCAGAAAGCCAAATGTTTAAATCTTTCTTTGTGGTTTAGAAAAGCGACGTTTCTCTGGCTGTAGTGGCTAATGGCACGGATTTCTAAGAGCATCTTTCAAAGGATGTGGCATATGTCCTTGTTGAAAATATTTTCAATTGAATTCCAAGTAGGGTACCAGAAAGCAGTTGTTTGTTTATTCCATTTTTTGTTTGTTTGTTTACTTCATGAATCCACAAACATTCTAAAGCAAGGCCAGCAAAGTCCTTGGAGACTTTCCAGAAACTACAGTTTTTAGTTATTGGTCACTTTCACAGAAACTCCTTGTACATCTTCATGGAAAAGTTGAACACTGACAGAAGTACAGGATATGATATGCTATTGATTATGGATCTTTAAGAGAAAGACACCCAATTTATATGCTGAGACTGTTTTTGTTTTAAATACAAAAATTATATGTTTGATTAGTAGCATTTTCAATGACAAGGGCTGCAAATTAAAATGTCAATAATGAATGTTTTTAAAATTTTGAATATTGAAATGTCTATAGTTATGAGGAACAGTCAGTTTGGTGTGCCCCTCCACTCCCTTGATTGGTTGGATTTTTTTTTTTCTCCTTAAAAGTTGACTTAAAACAAACCTTAAGAACAAACCTCAGTTGTTTGGCAGCTAGTTACCATAAACATAAGCTTTCCCATTAGCAGGGTTTGGCTACCAACCCTAGAGAGCTGGCCCTGTCACAATATGATTAGAAGAGTTTTTAAACTTTAGAGTTAAATAATTCTAACACTCTTGCCATGTCCTGGGTGCTGATAATTTTCACAAAACAAATAAAGCATAGAAACCTGGAATAAACTTTAGAATGCTTTAAAAGAGAGAGGGGGGGGGGGAGAGAGAGAGAAACACATTGGTTTAATTATTTAGCTCTTCCAGGAAATTAGAAGCCACCCACAGCCCCCTGAGACAGTTTGAGGTGGTATATTTGTATTTCAATTGATTTCCAGGGGTTGCCTTATTTTAAAAAGGGGAACATAAAAATACATTTGCAAGACAAGTTTTAGTAAGAACTATTTTAAAAGGTTTAAAAATCCTTAAACATTTATTATGCTTCTTAAATAAGTTGTAAATATTCCTTTTTGTTTGTGATCATGAAATTCACAGTGACACCTGCTGGTAACTATTAAGGGATTAAAAAAAACTAATTTTTTTTTTTTCTTGGTTCTGCTTACTGGTGGTCTTTATGAATCACCTTAAGGCTTTATCAGAATTTTCTGTTTTCTTTTTTTTGTTTTTTTTTTAATTTTGTAGTTGTAGATGGACAGAATGCCTTTATTTTATTTGTTTATTATTATGTGGTACTGAGGATCGAATCTAGTGCCTCATGTATGCTGGGCAAACACTCCTCCACTGAGCTATTTTCTATTTTTGACTCATCTACTTTTAACAATAATTTGCTAAAATCCTGTCCCCTTATATTCCAGAGTTGGTATTCAACTGATCTATATTCCATCATTATATGAATATTGAATGCTTTCTAATAAAATATAATATTAACCAAGTTAGAAATGAAACACAAAGTTTGACATTTTTGCAATTTTAATACATTTTTGGAGTGATCTTAGGAATATAATTATGATTAAAAATCATTTATTTGATGTCTTCTTTTGGTCTTTAAAAGTTAAAATGACAAGTGCCTATTATTAGGTGTTTCCCTGTAAAGTTTGGAAAGAACTCAGATTTCCCTATGAAGATAATATATTTAGAATTTTCTAGTGAGAGGGAAAATTGAAACTATAAAACTAAATCCATCTATAATGTTCCAAGTTAATTTCTGAAAGACTTAGGAGACTTTTTTTTTTTTTTTAATGAAGGGATCTGCAAAGTTAGAAAAAGCTGAAATATTGCAAATGACTGTGGATCATTTGAAGATGCTTCAGGCAACAGGGGGTAAAGGTAAGTTGGTGGCTTTGTTTTTTATTCCCTTTTTACCTTTCTCTTTTCATCTTTCCCCTCTAATA